GATGTATTAATCATGTCTTGCACTAGCAGCACAATTTCTCCTGTTATCTGAGAAATTATTTCTGATTTCATTATTTTCCAGATCCCCTTTTGTTGCCAGTTCAGTGGTTCCAGGTGGTTGAGCATCAGAGTGTTCCATCTCATGTCCCTTTGGGGTTGCTGTAGGTGATGTGGAAGTCTGGTTTTGAGACTTACTTCCGTGTTTTCTCATTTCGACTGGGGCGGGGGGCTGTTAGCGTGTGCACGGATTACCTCCTCTGAGCTGGGAGAGGTGGGAAAGGGGCCGAGAGCAGTGGTAGGGATGGTGACCCAAAAGCCCTTTCCTGTGGGCTTGGAGCAGCGGGAGGGATGGTGGCCGGGAAACCCCTTCCTCTGGACCAGGAACAGTGGGATGGCAGCTCAGAAGCCCCCACCTCTGGGCTGGGAGCGGTGGGAGGGATGGTGGTCCGGAAGCCCCTTCCTCTGGACCAGGAGCAGTGGGACGGCGGTTCAGAAGCCCCTACCTCTGGGTCGGGAGCAGCGGGACTCAGTACCATGGTCTGGTGGTCTGGTGTCCTCTGCGTCTTTGTAATGTGGAACTAGGTGGCTGCCTGTCTGCAGCGGGGTGATTAGGCGTGTTCTGTGCGACTCAGGACCTGGATAGGGTGTGGGCAGACCTGCATGTCTGCAGCGGGGTGATTCGGCATCTTCCGGGTGACCTTATTTTTATTTCTAAGACGGAAGTTATTTCACCTCCAGAGGATTTTGGTGTACAAATACATCCACTGGAATATCCAAGAGGCTCCACCTCTCGGTTTATCATGGAGATGAATCCAAATCCCATACGCACATTGAACCACTTACAGTGGCCAGTTCCGTGCAAAACCTGGGATTCCTCCTCTGCCTGCTCTGGCAGCTTTCCGGGCTCTTCTCCACCACCTTTGCTTGCCCCGCCTGGGGCTGATGAAACCTGGTTTAATGACCTCATCGTCTTCTGAAGAACCTCCCGGGCCTCACGGTCAGGTCGCCTGCGTGGGCAGGAGCGGGAGCGGGTGTGAGGACCCGGTGAAGAGAGGGGCCTGGGGCCTGTCACTTCCTGAGGGAGCGCGGCGGCCTGGGGGTCCGCGCGCTGGGGGCCAGCGGAGGGCGGCGGAACCCGCTGTCGCAGCCACAGCCCTGCGGGTAGCGGGCCGCAGGGAGCAGAGGCCTGGGCTGGGGGCGCGGGGCGCGGGGCGCGTGGCAGTGGCGGCGGCGCCGGGCGGCTCGACTGGAGCACCTAATTACATATTCTTAAAACATATATAGCAAACACTGGCATAAAACAAGAGAGAAATAGACAAATTCATAATAATTGTGCAGGGTTTTAACACATCTCTCTCATTAACTGGTAGAACAACCAGACAAAAATAAAAATGTGAACAACATAATTAACAGAATTGATTTAACTGACATGTAAAACAGTACATATAAGAATTATAGGGTATAACTGACCATATATTATATCCAAAAACTTGAAAATACTGAAATCAAAAAGTATGTTCTATGACCACAATTATGCAGGTTTGATAGGAAGAAAAAAATTTAAAAGAACTAGAGAATCTTCAACAGTTTGTACATTTAAGAAATTTCCCTGTGAACAAACCATGGTTCAAAGAAGAAATTATTATAGATACTAGAAAATATTTTAAATTAAATAATAATGAAAAGACTACTTAGTAAAATTAATGGGATGAAGCAAAAGCTTTGTTTAATAAGAAATATGTAGTCTTCAGATGAATATATTAGAAAAGCTAAAAAATTAAGGATCTTTATCAAATATTAGAAAAAAGAGAGCACAGTAACTTTCCTGAAAAAATCCCCAGAAGAATAGAAAAATATAAAGATAAAAGCAGAAATCAATAAAGTAGGGAAAAAAAGCATTCAATAAAAACCATTGATGAAATTGTTTATGGAAAAAATGAGAAGACATAGATGAGGAGCATCTAGGAATGACTTACCCTGGAGACCCAATGAAATCCTAAGATGACAGACACTTGGAAGAACTTTTTGCCAATAAATTTGAAAATGAGATAGACATATTATAGAAATGCACAACTTACCAAAACTGACAATAAATGTGAAACTGGAATAATTTTGTAACTATTAAAGAAATTGAATCTATATTTGAAATCTTTTAATTAAAAAAACTAGATAGCTTAAGCAGGGAATTCCATCAAATATTTAGGAAAAACAAAAGATCAAAACCACCAATCTCACACAAACTGTCTCATAATAGAAAAGGAGGGAATATTTCTCCAAATCCTCTTTAAGACCAGTAAAACCTGGCTACTAAAATTAACAAGGATAGGACAAGAAAGAAAAATTACACCACTTTCATTCATGAATTCAATTGCAAAAAATGAGTAAACTAATCCAGTGATATATAAAATGTGTAATATACCATGACAGGTTGGATTTAGTGCAGGAAGAAAATTTTTCTTCTAAGGAAGAAAATTTTTACTTTTATTTCATTTCAACTGATTTAAATTTCAAATCGAACAGTCACATGTAGCTAGAAGCTCCTATACTGGACAATGCAGTTGTATAAGATAACACAGAGAGATATACTCACAAATTTAAAGCACATACATCTTTAAAAATCTTTTTTTGTATTACAGTCTGCTAAATCCAACATCTAGACTAAGAGCTGGTTTCTGCTGATTCCTCTTTTTCTTTCTTAAATATGGGTCACACTTTCCTGATTTTCTTCCATGTCTAGTGTGTTTTTTCTAAAACTGTATTTTGTATGTTGTGGATGATAAATGTGGAGATTCTGGATTCTTTTATCTTTCTCTAAAATGGCTGACTGTTCTAGTAGGCAGTTTGATTGCTAGCTGATCATTCTGAATTTGATTGCACAGGGTGGCTTTGTGCTTTATTAGAGTAGATGAGTTGAAATCAAGGTATTTCTCTACCCCTCTCACTCAGAGGGATCATGCTCCACATTGTCTCCTCTGCAGAGTTTTGCAGAGCTTGATTTAGGCTTCGTTTGTGGTGGGTCTAATTAGAGTAGGACTTACTCTACCCAGGGCATGGTCCCTGATTCTACAGTTTGGCTTTCCCATTGTCTTAGCAGGAGCTAAGGATTTAGTCAAGTGTTAATGAGGTAGTACCATATTAGCTGGGCCAGAACGCCAAGACACTGCTTGACCTCTTACTGTCTTTCTTCTGCTGTTAACCCCAAGGCAGTCTTCCAGGTAAAGCCTCTAGCAGCTTTGCCCTGATATAAATATGATAAATGGGCTGATTTATCAGCCAGAAATTACTGGGGCCCCCACACAATCTTCTGGGGATCTTTCTTCTCCACAGCTCTTTTGTTTATGTATCAGTAAAATATAATACATCTGTAGGGACTGATATCACTATACCAACATAGAAATGCATAGCCATAAATATCTACAATTAAAAAAAAATAACATTATCACATGACCAAGTGCTGGTCATGATGTGGAACAGCGAGAAACTGCATGTACTGCTGGTAGATTTGTAAATGAATGGAACTGCTTTGGACACACTTGGCCTCATCCATCAAGGTAGGAAGACACTAATAACCAGCAATTCCATTCCCTGATATATATCCAATGGAGATTCTAAGGGAGGCATAAGAAACAGGTATGAAAGTGTTCACACACCACTGTTTGTGTCAGTCAAAATAATCCAATGGTTCATCACATGAAGAATAGACAAACCATGTACTCATACAATGGAATCTCCTGTTATACCAGGAGATTCCTCCCACCTACCCCTAAATCTTTGTCTACCCTTCCTATCATCCTACATGAAAGCAAAGATAAGGAACGGATGGTACCAAGCATGGTGAAATGGTTGTTTTTAAAGAAGATACCCTTTTTCTGAGATCAGAGAAAAAGTAAGAAATTAGATGTAGGAAGAGTAATATATTTGATGATGGTGTCAAACTTCTTTAAGAAGTTTGAAAATAAATGATGTGGTCAACAAAACGAATATTTTCCATCTTCTATTTATTAGCATCATTATTAATAGTACCAAAAGAATTATAAAATCATGTCTGTTATCAAATTTAAAAAAAAATGTAGTTCAGGTTCACTATGTAACCCAGGCTGACTTGAACGCATGGTGATACTCCTACCTCAGCTTCCCAAGTATAGGGATTACAGGCGTGTGCCACAATGCCCAGCTCTGTTATCAAGTTTTTAACTGCTCCATAAGAATCTTGCTCTTGCAACAATGATTTAGAACAATGTTCTACCCAGTCTTTCAAGCTAAACCAAGAATATATAACCATTATTTACAAATTAAATGAGCCAAAATACCTATAGCAAATAAATAAAATACTTACTTGACTGACATGCACTGGTGTTAAAATTAAGTCGAGAACTCCAGACCAGCCAGCAAACACACCAAGTGGTATAGCATATGCTAAAGCAATCATCAAAAATCTCAAATTGCTATAAGAGGGAAGTAAGGAAAAACATTATTACAAATTAACAATCTAGAATTTAAACTGTTATTCATGAAAAATGAAATTGGAAATACTAGAATCAGAAACAATATTTTTCAGTTTGTTAAAATATTTAAGTTCCTTTCAATTTTTTATTTGTATAAGAATAATCTTTTTCTGATATTGCTTAAAATTGCCAATGTTTACTGTATTATATTTTGTTTACTTATCAGCATTATTTTATACAATGAGTAGTCAATAAGTTCAGTTTATTTTTTATCATTAATTAAGTTTATTGGTACAACTGATATATCCACAATGATCACATTCATTATATTGAATATAGAGGATATATCTTGATTCATATTTTTTCCCATTCCCCTCTCCTACCTTCTACCTTTCTTCAAGAGCTTTGTTTCCATTTTATCTTTCTTTTCTCATTTTTTTCTTTTCCCTTCCTTCCTTTCCCTCTCCACCTTCTGTTGTGCCCCTTCCCATCTGAACACTTTCTTCCCATTTTGCAATATCTATTATATATTTGCACTTTCAGTTTCTCACCAGAGAAACAATGTGATATTTACACGTGTGTGTCTGATTTATCTCACTTAAGAGTATGGTCTTTAGGTGTATCCATTTAGCTATAAATGTCTCAAGTTTCTCATTCTTTATGGCTAAGTAGTACTCCATCATATACAAAAACCTCACATCTTCTTTATCCATTCATTGGTTGATGGGAATTTGTGTTGTTTCCAAGATTTAGCTATCACAAACTGTGCTGCTACTAACATGGGTGTGCATATATCACTGTGGTATGATGCTTTTAATTCTTTCAGGGAGATACTGAGAAGGGGATAGCTGAGTCAAATGGAACCTCCAGGCTTGTTTTCTAAGGAATCTCTACACTGATTTCCACAGTGGTTGCACCAGTCTACATTACCACCAACAGTGGATAAGGGTTCCTTTTTCCCCACACCCTCACCAGCATTTGTTATTGGTTGATTTCATGATATCACCCATTCTTTCCGGAGTGAGACAGAATCTGAGCGTTGTTTTAATTTGCATCTCTCAAATGACTAGTGATGTTGAATATTTTTTCATATTTATTTGCCAGTTGTACATCTTCATCTGAGAAGTGTGTATTCATCTCAGGTGCCCATATTTGGATTGGGTCTTTAAATTTGGGGGATTTGGTTTTTTCAGTTCTTTATATGGTCTAGATATCAGTCTTTTTTCTGAGCAACAGCTGGCAAAATTTTTTCCTACTCTGTTGGTGATTTCTTTTGCTGTGTAAAAGTTTTTAAATAAAGTTTTAATAAGATGAGATCCCAGTTGTTCTTTGTAATATTTCCTGTATGATTGGGGTTTTGTTCATAAAGTCTTTGCCTACACTTATGTCTTCAGGAGTTCCACCTATTCTTTCTTCCAGCAAATTTAGTGTTTCTATTTTAATATGTATATCTTTGATCTATTTTGATTTTAGTTCAGTGCATGGAGAGACATGGGTCTAGTTTTAATATTTGGCATGTGGTTTCACACTAAAATCAGGAACAAGACAAGGATGCCCACTATCACCACTCCTGTTCAATGTAGTTCTGGAAACATTAGCCACAGCAATTAGAAAAGAGAAAGAAATAAAAGGAATAAAGATAGGAAAGGAAGAAGTTAAACTGTCAT